GGGGGGGGGGGTCGCACAGTCGTGTGAATGTGAGTCTGTGTGCAGTCTGTTGTGATCGGAGAGCCGCCCGCCTCAGATCTCTGTCAATCAATCAGCAAATATTTCACATTCTGCTCTAAAGTCCAAACAAGGACCATAAACGTATCCTTTGAAACTATAACCACATAAAATCATAGCAATATAACACACAAGCCGACTTAGAGAGACCAAAGTCCGCTGTTATCCGAATAAAATCACCCGTACGGCAAGCTTTGAAGTTATTTTCATAGATTACATGATCAGTAGGTTAATGAATCCAGCTAATTTTAGATTAAAGTCCGCTTTTCAAACTTCATTTGAAGGATAAATGGCTGACTTGTAACAGTTGTTTCATAACCTACTAAAATATTCATATAATATACATTATATTCCCATTATAACAACAGTTTGATTATAAGTTAATATTATTAACTCCATCAACAAATACATTTAAATAAGTTACCATAACTAAAAGTTGGGAAAGCTGCTTTTGTTTTTTATATAAAAAACACTGTCCTGTGACTTCTGACTCACCTGCACATTAAGTATAAAGGAAGTCTGACTTTCAACATTTCATATGAATTTTTTTACCCATTACGAAAGGATTAGCAAAAGAGAATTACAAATTTAAAAACCTTTTTTGATAGAACTGAACTAAATATCTGATAGAACTGAACTAAATATCAGATAGAAATTAACTAAATATCAGATAGAAATGAACTAAATATCAGACAGAACTGAACTAAATACAAAATATCAGATAGAACTCAACTAAATAGACAGAACTGAACTAAATATCAGATGGAACTGAACTAAATATCAGATGGAACTGAACTAAATATCAGATAAAACTGAACTAAATATCAGACAGAACTGAACTAAATATCAGATAGAATTGAACTAAATATCAGATGGAACTGAACTAAATATCAAATAGAACTGAACTAAATATAAGATAGAACTGAACTAGAACTGAAATAAATATCAGATGGAACTGAACTAGAACTGAAATAAATATCACATGGAACTGAACTAGAACTGAACTAAATATCAGATGGAACTGAACTAGAACTGAACTAAATATCAGATAGAACTGAACTAAATATCAGCTGGAACTGAACTAGAACTGAACTAAATATCAGACAAAACTGAACCAAATATCAGATAGAACTGAACTAAATATCAGCTGGAACTGAACTAAATACCTAATATAACTGAACTAAACATCAGATGGAACATGGCCTTTAACAGGAGGACTCTGACACAGATAGCATGGAGCTGATGAGTCTCAGAAGGTGACGGTGATTCAAAGTCACCAGCGTGTGATCGGGCAGAGCTGAGCGCGGAGGGAAGGGCAGAGCCCCCGTCCTCCGGGTTATTTTTGCCCCACACGGTCCCGCCCCACAGCTCAAGCCTGGGGTTCAAATTGGACTCCCCCACCAGCTCCTCACCCTCACCCTCACACTCACACTCACCTCAGCCCACACTCTGCCAGAGCGAGAATGGACCCGGAGTAGAACCGAGGGAAGCTGAGACTCTCTCACACACACAGAGACACTCGAATCCCTGGGGAAACACAAACAGAGGCACAGGGAGTTCCTCTTGACCATGACAGATATTGCATCAGAGGAGGATAAGGACCCCGATATTGAACTATTTGTCAAGGTGAGGTTTTCATAGTGTGTGTTTTGGTGTGTAAACACGACAAGTTTGACACAAATATGTCATATCCTCCAGGTTTGCTTATTAGTGCTTCCTTTTTGTTTGTCACAAGTCAAGATTTGGACTCAAATATGCACTTTAGAAGGGCATGAAATGCGTGTTTTGGTGGCCCCTTTAAGCGTGTGCCTGCCATGTTGTTGTTGTCGGGTGCTGATTTTCCATTTAACCTGATACCCACGTGCATTGACAATCTTTCTCTTTCTCTCGTCTACTGAATTATTACTGGGGTCCTTTCAGTATAGAGAGCAGCAGCTTTAAATAGTCGAAGGTTATGATCTGTATACCTTGGAATGTGTTTATGGTTTTCATGTTGGGAAATAAAGCCTTTAGCTTTTGTCTTTTATTGACTAACCAAGAAAGTTGAAACTTAAAGTGAGTTGTTTCTATGGATATGTGCAATGATAACAGAGATGCCATGAGTCTTAGAGGTTGACTTGATTTAATATATTTAATTAAAATTGATTTTTTAACAGGATGGATGACTTCTGACTAATGCTTTGTATCTAATATTTTTGGACATTCAAAACAGTAAATAAGAAAACAATCCTTTGTTTCTGAGCATTGTGAGCTGAGTTGGTTCTTGCATTAATTAGCCTGGGAAGTTGGGGAAATTCTGGCTTCTGACCTCAATTTGAAAGCACTTTTGAGAGAAAATAAAACTTTCTGTCTATGCAGGGTATGCTAGCTGACTAGTTAACTAGCATCTAGTCTTTTAAAAAAAATGTTTTAGCATTTAAACTACAAATAATGTTACATAACCAAGCAGTTCTGATTTAAAAAACAACAAATTCTTGTGGTAAAGTACAGAAACGTGCAGATATGTGAGAGAGGCAGGAAATGTTGGAGGATTACATAACAGCTGTTGGTATTTATCTCTTGTCGCCTGGTTGTGTTGCGTTTTATTACATTTTATCATGAAGGTCACACATGTCTGCATGGGTGTACGTTGGAAAAAGTGAGAGTGTAGCGGTGATGTGACGTGGCCGTTTCCATAACTGATGCACATTGCTGCAGTGGGCCGGAGCCACAGGTTCAAACGGGCAGTGAAGCGGCTAATGGAGGCAGCGTGGATTATTCATGCTGGACTTAGTGTCGCGTTTCAGTGTCCTCTTGCAGAGTTGCACACACACCTTCATCCCACTGAGCTGGAATCAGATTCTGCCTCAAATCTTCTCGTTTTCTACTTAATTGACGCTGTGATTGGGTGAATGATTATTGTTGCTAAACGAGCTTTCGTTGTCTGTGTTTCATTTAATTTTTTTTTTCATTTCATTTAATTTATTCATCTTGAATTTCCCCTTGGGGATCAATAAAGTATCTATCTATCTATCTATCTATCTATCTATCTATCTATCTATCTAT